AAAATGGACAAGGGGAGGATGAATGCGTGAACTGAGACTTGGGTGGGGAAATTAGTGGCAAATTGCGCGAAGAAATTGTGGTCTTCCCCACACACACATATATTAACCATCTCACATTATTTATTTTGGGGAAATTAGTGCAACCGAAAGTGTACGCTTTTTCTATTTCATATTATTATCTCCATCTCACATTATATATTTTTTTTATTAAAAATTTTTCGGAAATTAACTAACTACTCATTTTGTTTTAAAATAATAATTATTTTTTGACTTATTTTTAAGATATTGATTGATACATACTTTAATTCAACACTCTCATAATATATTTACTAAAAATTATTATTTTTTAATATAAAAATAAAAGCAAATAATTTTAAATATGCAGTTATATATATAAAATGTAACAACTAATTATATCGATTATATATATATTATATTTTTAATGATTGAATCGGATAAATATCAAAAGTATATCAAACTAAATATGTACTAACTATTTTCCTTCTTTAAATTAAAAATTTTAAGACAATTTATATATTTATATAATGTTACCCTTAAAATAATTAATGGATAGTGAAAATAGTAGAGTACGAAAAAAATATGTTTATTTTTTAAAAATAAAAATAATAATCAATTTAAAATAAATTTAAAATGAAAAAATAATAATTAATTTGAAAAAAAAACCTATATTTTTATATTTTTCTAGATGAATTAACTGTTTCTTTCTCGTTCCAATCATGTAATTAAAGCTGAACGGCTCGCTCCTGCTCAATGGTATTGAACCCTGAGTTAAAGCTATTCATCTCTAGTAGGTTGCTGTATGTTCGAACCTTACAGAATCCTTTTCCCGAGTAATGATTTAGCGGACGAAAATGGGAGACGAAAATGGGAGACGACAAGTGATGTAAGGGGGTCAAATTGGTAATTGCACTACGTACATAAATCTTGCATCACCTGTCGTCCCCCATTTTCGTTCCGCGTTTTCGTCCGCTGAATCATTACTCCCCATTCCCTCCTCCCCCAATTAACCCTGTAAATAATTACAAATTATTCAAAAAAAAAATCATGTAATTAAAGCTAACATTTAATATTCAGTTTCATTAACTATAATATTGATTTAATCTTTATTAGCCCATAACTCTGATATGTATCCAAACTTGATTTTAGTTCCAACTCTTTCGGCGTG